CCACTGTTGATGTCATCTATGATGTCATGTGGGTGGCGGCCATCAACATTGCAGCCCACAGACTGGGCAGTGCCCAGAATCTCTTTAATGGTTCCTGTAGTAAAGAAAAAGTGGCATCGGGTGCTGCCTCTTATCCCTCACAACCCTGACATGTGGTAGGGGGCTGCTTTTGAGTTCTCAGCAGGCAGGGAATGGATGCCATCCCCGACCCCTTAATACAAAGCTTAAAACTCCATCTAGCCATATAAACCCTGAATGTAAGATCTCCATGGGTCCCTTGATACCCAGACACAACCAGATCAAGATCTTAAGCCATTCCCCTCAACACTAGGGAACACTACATCCCAATCTGGGTCTTAGAGTCCCTTTCGAATGGGAAGAATGCTAGCCACTCAGTGAAAACACCCAACTACAGTCAAAATAGTTGCAACGTCATGCTGTTCTTACCAGAAAGTTCTCTGGCTAAAGATCGGTGCCGCATCTGTCTGGCAATATTGACAATCTCATCAAAAGTGATATTTCCGTTGTGTTTAACTAAAGAAGAAGAAAAACAGCAAAAGCTCTGTCACAGCCTGTAAAGCAGATCATATTTCATCCTTCCTCCATTTCTAGGCTGTTCCCATGCTTTCGGCACAGAGTCATCCACATGAAGAACAACCCTGTTTCCTAAGCTGGGGTTTAGTATCAGCTCACCACTGGATTGCACCAGCCAACAGAACTGGTAGGTGCAGTGGCGGGTGGCTATGGGCAAACCAAGTCTTCGCCAATCTGACATGGCAAGGACCTTGTTTTACAAATGAGAAATGACAAGTTTAAACTATGGGTATGGCTTAAGCTGTCCAGAAAAGTATCTGCCAGTAGCATGTGGTCTCTTGCTTAAAGGGGCAGTGCTCAGTGGCTTCCCTGTCAGCTGACATTTCCCTGCAGCATGCACTATGAATGGGACCTGCCCTCCACAAGACTGGGGAAAGCTACATGGCACCATTTGGTAGTGCCTGGCTCTAACAGCCTTAACCAAATAATCACCCAATCCCCATGCCAACCCGGGTTTCATTAAAGGGAAAGCATAGCCATGATCACCAATCACAAACCAGTAATGAAACAAATCCTGAGAAAAGGCAACTCACTGTTTTTCTGCTTCTTTCTGTCTCTTGGTGGTTCCTTGAGGGCTTTGATGATCAGGGCAGAGGCAGAAGGTACCACTTCAATCTGCAGAAGAGATTCTTGATGTGAATAAGCTATCCCACCTCCAGTGAATGATACCACCACTGTATGAGAATCAATACTGCCATGCACATCAGCTCTCTGAGACCATGGGCCAGACACTGGCCTTACTGCGCATGTTCAAGTATTTTTCACCATCTAAAAACGTGCTCCTAGGCCAGGTGCGGTGGCACACGCCTGTAATCCTAGCACTTGGGAGGCCGAGGCAGGCGATCGCTCAAGGTCATGAGTTTGAAACCAGCCTGAGCAAGAGCGAGACCCCGTCTCTACTATAAATACAAAGAAAATTAATTGGCCAACTGTAATATATATAGAAAAAATTGGCTGGGCATGGTGGCGCATGCCTGTAGTCCCAGCTACTCGGGA